CATAGACATAGACATAGACATAGACATAGACATAGACATAGACATAGACATAGACATAGACATAGACATACACATACACATACACATACACATACATACATACATACATACATACATACATACAGACGGACAGACGGACAGACGGACAAACGGACAAACGGACAGACGGAAAGACAGACAGACACATATTTATTTTTTGCCACACATTCTCACTTGCATATTAATACAGGACAAGCGTACGCCGATCGCATCTGGGCGGGCATTCTGGTTTGGGACGCAATTTAGTTTTGGAAAATCGACTGACCTGCAGGTGCAAGAAAACGCACCTGCAGGCTGTGACATGGAGCTCTGGAAGGAAAGCAGCTCCCCTCGTTCGCGTGGAATGGCAGTGCCGCAACAAACGCATACATACAAGAGACTTCATAGGAGCGCCGAGGCCCAGAAACTCTGTACACAACCATTCACCCCTGACGATATGAAAGCTTTCAATACCAGCATATTCTGAAAGCTATGCCAGCTCTAGTAGCTAACACGTGGATCATACGATACACCCACACCCCACCACCCTCCCCCCCACTCAAAAACAAAGGCGCACAGGCCAGCTACTCAGCTTCAATTACGTTATACCCTCCCCTCCCATCCAAAAATACTAAGCTCTGAAGGGTAGCTGCTTGTCTGCTAAGATGCTGCAAGCGTGTTCCCCATGAGCTCCACCAGAGGGAAGAGCTCCAGATCCTTGGGGACCTGTCGCCAAGGGGGGGCTTTGGCCATACCTTAAGCTACCCTAACCTACTTTTTGTAGGTTCTTATTATGAACCCTAATATGGAATTTATAGGGACCCTACAAAAAAGGTAGGTTTTGGTAGCTTGAGGTAGGTCCTAAGGGTTCCAAAAGCCGGGCCCTCGGGGGGGTTCCGTGCAGGAGACTTGGGCTTATGGTTTGGGACTTAGGGATTTGGGGTTTAGGGTTTAGAGGTTTAGTGGTTTAGGGGATTACGGTTTTGGGGGTATAGGGGACTCTTCTGCAGGTTCAAAGCTTAGGGTTTAGGGCAGGGTTTAGGCTTTAGGCTTTAGGCTTGAGGTTTCTATATATGTCAAGCTATCACGCTTTCGCAGGGGCAGCAGGAGCTGAATGTTCCGTCCTCAATGGCAGGACTAGTCGAACAGCGCCTAAAAACTCCCTGAAATCTCTACCAAACCCTGAACGTTAAACCACTGTAAGCATATGCCTAAATCCGAAACCCCAGCAAACAAAAAGCATGCTACAAAACGTAAAAAAAAAACCTGTAAATCCCAAGCCCAAGAAAGCCTTGTAAACCACTTATATAATCCTTACCTAATCCGCAAAGTTAGGTAAAATAATGGCCCAAAACCTCTAAAAGGCTATTGTTCTACATACTGTTGGGGTTCCAGGTAGAGCTTAAAACCCGACAACGAAGATGTGCCTGCAAGGCCTCCGACTCCAAAATACCATTGACGATCCTTGGCCAGGGCGCCGGTTAGCTAAATAATGGGCTACAGGATATATATATATATGTTAGGGTATCGGATCGAGCTACCAGGTAAGGTAGCATTGCTGATTCCCCAAGTGCAAAAGGCACGACCGGCAGCCATAGCACCGATATCGCCAAGCTGGCACAGAGGCCTGCGGCGCCGACGAGCGGTCCACCGGAAGCGCATCCACACTGCGCGTCTGAAGGGGACACGCCCCCCACTCTCATCTCTGCTCTTGTTGCAGAGACATCACACCAGACCTCGCTATAAAGAACTCCGCATGGGAGGCAAACGAGGATGGGGACGTGGTGGTGGAAATGGCTATGCTTCCTCATCATGGAACGACAAGCAGGGCAAGTGGGGATACTGGAGAGGAGCCTGGTCCCCACGCCAGAGAGCAGAGGAAGAGAGATACGATCAGGTGCAGCTTCGGACAGAACAGAGCGATCACGATCCGCGAGATGCAGGAGGTGGCAAGACGGCGTTTTTGCTTGCCGTCCAAAAAGCAGTGACTTTGGCCAGAAGACACGACGTCAAGCTCCGAAAGCTGAACGAAGAGCAGGAGAATCGCCAAAAGCTTTGGAAGCAGTATGTGGAGGATACCAAACGCAAGTTCGCGAAACAAAAGCGGGAGTTCGAAGCCGACATCCAGAGGTTGGAAGCGGACAAGATCTCCACCCTGGAAGCGGGACAAATGGCAGCAGCGCAGGTGAAAGCTATTATTGTCGGGCAGTCGAGGCCATCACAGGCGGCTCCCCCTCTGGACCCGAACGAAGCTTGGGCTACCCTTTGGCAAAGCACCTCGGCAGCTCCTTCTGGAGCCACCTTTCTGGACGATGCCATGACTGCAGCAGCCATGTGTGGTATGGACGTAGACTTCCCATCTTGGGAAGAAGGTTTGCCACAGCCTGGGGTCGCGGAAGAACGTGCGGACAGGAATATGGGGCCAACGCCAGCTCGGGAAACGGCCACTGCAGCCCCCCCGGGACTTACTGTCCCCTCATATGCGGCAGCCTCACCCGAGAGCAGAGGATCGAGACCGGCACCATATCCTCCAACTTCGCCTACTCTTCATGGGCCACCGGAGCATCCTGGGACAGAGACGACGGATCGCAGACATCTTCGTCGACATCCAGGCCAACGAGATCCCAGTGCTTCTCGGGTCCCGACTCATGTCGAGCCTCCTCGGCCTGGAGTCAAACCAGCTACGATGAATCCCCCTGTTCGACCAGTAGCACCACACCCTATTCAGGAACGATTAGAAGCCAGACGGGCCCAAGACACAGCCACGGCTCTACGGCCTTTTCGTGTACCTTTGGGCTAAGGCACCGGGGAACCACCACCTCCTGCTTCTACGGAGGAGACAACAGCAGAGGAGGCCAGACGCATCCCGATACTCGAGTACGACGACGGCGAAGAAGCTCCGGACTTCGAGTAGCATTTCAGCATGTCAGACGAAAACCATTGTCACGATGCGAACCACCAGGAGGTCTGAGCAGACTTGGGGAGCCGATTAGCCCTTGTGATGCTGGGGTGAAGCATCACATTGGCTATAAGCCTTCCCCCGGTCAATGCTGGACCTTCTGGACACGGGCATCGGTAGACTCTGGGTTTTCGTGGTCTCACTTTTGTAGCTTGCAGATCGACCTTGTCCTTCCGACCCTTTTTCCGGTGCCTGTCGCCTGGACTTTGTCTTCCTCGGTCGCCTTTTGGGTACACTGGTCTTGTGTAGCCCCTTGGGTAGACCCGTGCCATGTACAACCGCTCGCATTTGGCTCCTCCTCCCTGTCTGGGCTCCTTTGTCATTGGACTTTTGAGGTGCTCTGCTCTACCTCATTTTGCCGTAACCATCCTGAAGTGCCTAATACCTGCATCGGTGGCTCGGGGGCAGGAACTCTGATGGTTTTCGCACCTACATCTGGGTCCCTCTGTGTCCCTTTTTTGACCTCACACGCAGCGAGGGCGCCAAAAAGTCATGCTCTGGGATGACTGCCTCGCATAGTGCGTACTCTTGTAGCTTTGTCTCCAGTACGACCTTTGGTGTGGTTCTCCTCCGAGGTTTTTGGTCATGGGGTTCCTCCCCTCACAGCTGTGACCCCTTTTGCCTCTTTGGGTCGGCCCTCTCTTTCGGAGGTTTTGCACGAGCGCCAAAAAGTCATATCGGTGGCTCTGGGATGACTGCCGTGCAACTCCTGCAAACAGATCGCTGCTCCTCCAGTTCGCTGCGCCACATGCCCTCTACGGTTTTGCAAGCGCCATGTCCCGAGCAACCAGTGCGGAGCCAGTTTATCATTGCGCAGCCTGTGAGCGAGCCCTGTCCCCTGATTACGTCAAGTGTCATGTGGCTCCTGCTTATCCTTGGGTCCGTTCTGGTGCCAATTTACCGTGGCGTGATAGTTCTCATTCTTCTGGGACTCTTTCGCCTCCTCGTGTGGAACCGCCCTCCAACGTCATGGCTTGGATCTCTCCTCTGCCTGCCTTTTAAGGGTAGATGTTGTGATTTTGTGCTGCCACTCCTGCAGGTCCCTGCGGCTTTAAATTACCTAGAACCTCCGTTCATACGTTTATTTCCGTGCGCTTGGATTTCCGCGCGTGACTCTATAAGATTAGGAAAAAGATGCGGGATGTTTTTTTTCGTGCGTGATGTTTGGAACATCATTAGCACAAGGATTCCCAAGATTAGGGCTAGGATAAGTGTATATATTGCATCATGATGCCGATCATCTAGTGAGAACAGGGTCGCACCGATGATGCCATAGATTCCCTTATTATTTCTACGGTACACTATCTCTGAAGCCCTACATCAAGCTGATCGTGCACCACCAGAAGATCCCGACGATTCTTTTCCACGCCAGGGGCTCGGCTTCTGTCTCATCCAAACTCTCGCTGCCATTGTTTATTATAGAGTAGGAGCGAAATCCGTATGGTTCGGATAGCACATGTAACATTCGAGCACCTG